GACCAAGATGGTGGCGCTCGGTTGAGCGGGGGAGAAACGGCGTGCACGCCAAGTTCGGGTATTTTTGACGGTCGCTCGCTCTTCAGGTGCTGCCTTGGCCAGATAAAGAGTTTATTTGAGGCACTTTTTGGGCGAATTCGGTGCTGATATTTACGGAGGACATATTTTATAGATTATATTGACCTAATATATTGTTTTCTAAAAATGGACTTCATTGACATTTTTTTGGTTTTCGAAGGCCGCGACCCTCCTTAAGGCGGAGTGTTTGTCTTATGCCTACCGGTTAGTGCGCACCACAATAAAATTTTGCAAAGTTTACAGCGCCGCTGAACTTGCAGACGCCACAATGTGCCACAAGCGTTTTTTTTGCCATTTTGACAAGTGTGAAGATCGGCTGGTCAAGTATTCCGAGTTCTGCACAATTGTGGTGGTGCCTTTGCTGGTAATAGTAGCAAAAAAAAAAATTAAGGCAAGGTGGCGATCACTGATTAACCAACCAGTATGACTTATGATCGACGAAAAGCCTAATCACAGTAACCATCTGCTGCTATCTGCTCGGGCACGCTTGTGGCGTAGCGCCACTTTAGGCCTTCTGCACGCTTTTAATAGGCGACTACCTGAATGCGCCAGTTCGTCAATCTCTGCCACCTTGTTGTGGGACCATGTTCAAGCGCGCACCGCTTTGCAAAAACGCTAGCGGCTCGCTGTCGCGGAGTTTAGCCTTGCAGGTCATGGGCACCAAGAAACCATGCTGTATTGATGCTAACACATGCAAGCGTTGCGGCGCTGTATAGTAACCATGCTTCAGGTTTTCATTAAGCGCCAGCCCAAACGCGCTTTCGTCCGCTGCCAGAATAGCTAGAGCTTCGCGGAGTGCGCATCGCTTGCACAAAGCTCTTCATTGCAGGCTGCTCACTCATTGCAGGCTACTCGCTGTATCTATGGGTGGTCTGAAGTGGAGTGGGCATATGCTTCAGCAAGTGGATCGGCAGTCACAGGGTGCGCAGAGTAGGCAAAGCGCAGCACGCCGCTAGCCAGCTGACGATTTGGCTCTCTGCGGCCGTAGCGCATTTCAAAACAATTCAAACAAACTGTCAGCTTTCACTTAAAAGCAGACCTCAGAATGGAAGTATCGAAATGGTCCGTGGCGTCGCCACTGCATCACAGAATCTTTTCTGCACATTGGCAAAACGAAAGAAATGGCTTTAGGGTGGGCACTTCAGGCTGTATTTGTTGTACTGTATGTATTCCTTTGTTGGCGGCAATGGTGCACGTCAGGAGATACAGATTTGCAGCTGGTGGTTAATGCGTAGTTGTTTACTGCGTAGTTATGCTGCCGTTCCCAGTGGTTACGTATAAACAGGGGTGCTACTGCTGCGCTAAATAGCCCTGGCTGCTACACGCTGCTACATTTCTTCGAAATTTGGCGAGTCTGCGCCCAACCTGCACCAAAGGGTGTGCTTGGACATTCTGAAACAAAACTACTTGAGGTGCTCCCGTTGAAAATGACATCGCGGTGCACCTGCGTAAGACGCAACTCGAGCCAAGCCAAGCCGGACTGTGCCAAATGTCATTGTTGGGACCATGGATAAAGTGTTCTTTGTAGAACACTTTACCATGTATGGTTGGTGCGCAGTGAATGCGCGATTTTTAGGGGCGAAGCTCCTTATGGCGTGGCTTGTGCGTCCCTCGTAGTACGTAACCACCAGTGGCACATATCCGAAATAGGTATAACATTTGACCTCTAAGGTGGTGCCGGTGAGAGATTTCTTCTGTGCGTTGTTTAACAATAAAAAATAGTGCTCAATGTACATGCCAATGGCTGCTAATAGGGAATGAGAGACATGAGCATTCGGCTTTTAGTCAACGCGCACGCTGCGATTCCCATTAGCAGCCATTGGCATGTATATTGAGCACTATTGGTCAAGAAAGGGTTGCTACATTATACTCACTGGGTGTAACCTCCTTAGTTTTAGAAAGGTTTAGCGAGCGTTAGCCGCAGGGCCATGAATACAATGAACTAGTATATACCATGAATGAATTCGAGGTGGTTAAAGGGGGGAAGCAGATACGAAGCGCAAGCCGTAAGAAATTAAAAGCTGAATCCTCCTGTCTCTCATTTCACATTAGGAGCCACTGGCATGTACATTGAGCACCATCTGACAGGAAAAGGTTGCTACGTTATGCTCGCTGGGCGTAACCTCCGTGGTTTTAGAAAGGTTTAGCGAGCATTGGGCCCAAGTGCCATGGATACAGTGAACTAGTATATACCATGAACTCAAGGTGGTTGAAGGTGGGAAGTAGACCCGAAGCGCAAGCCGTAAGAAAGTGTGCGTGTGCCACCTCTCGTTTAGTCCTTGGAATGTCCACTGAATGGCGGTGCTTCTATATGGGGAATATATGATAAAAAGATGCGAGATGGTGGGACTTGGAGTGTTGAATAGATGGACGAACGGACACACAGACAGATGCATGGATGGACGCATGAACGGACGCAGGGGCGGATGCATGAACGAACGCAGGGACGGGCGCACGAACAGACACATGGACGGTCACACAGACTGACGCATGGACGGACGAAAGCTTCGCCCCACTCTCCATCACTCACTCCGTGGATATGCTGCCATTTTTTTTTGTACTTTCTAGGGACCGGGAAATCGTCCGAAAAAAGATTTATGACTTTTGATTTTGCTGAACTAATCAAATTGCCTCAGCCCCGTTCAAAATAGCTTCAATTTCTTTTACAGTACACTTATTAGGAATTTCGGTGCACGCTCAGGCTGTCGTAAATACATTCAGGGCCTGCCAACGTTTATTTGCAAATATGCATCGTGTGACAAGCGCCTCTGATACCAGCCAAACGCAGAATAAGTTGTGGATTTATCGCATGGAGCTTGTGGAAACGATGATGTAGAGCATAAAGGATGTGGCAGAATAGAGGAATATTTGTCCAGACTTTTGCGATGCATGTTTGCGCTTAGAAGATGTGCCACTGTACAGAAATCTCCGGTGAGTGGCACATCGCCCTTGCTCACGCTCGACACTGATCGTTCCTAGTTGTGTGCAGCACATAGCCTACACAGCTGACACCGTTCCTACCGGGGCGCTTTTGTATGCTCGTGTTGGTCATAAAAAAGTGTTCTTGATGCCCGCTCTGTTCCTGATCGCACATGGGCGCGACGATAGCGAGCTGCTTTCGTTCGTGAAGGCAAGGCGTCTGTGCGGCGAACGTAGCCAATTTGGACAGAAAGGCAGCGTGCGTAAGTGATTAAAAGCGTGCAGTATGCTGACAACTGCACCACTTGCAGTAACAAGCAGTTAGCTCAAGATGCTTATCATAAAGCGATTGTCTTACTGCCGTGTTTGTCACACATCCACCATCACGCCTACAAGCATCTCCGGTGCTTATCCGTTAGACATCACCTCACTCCGTGGTGATACCGGCCCCTTCGAATTTTTTTATCTCCTTCACCCCATAGCATTTTTGCATTGCGGCAGAGCCAACATTCGAACATTACGGTGACACCGAATGATTTTTGAAAGCATTCGTTTAAGCCTGCGAGGTCATAGGCGTAGCAAAGGTAGAGACTTTAAGTAATTCTGTTTCATACCGGAAATGTTGGCTGAAAGCCCAAAAAATGAGACGCTGAAGAGTTTCAGTGTGAAAAATTTCAGATGTTCTTATTCATAGACGTCGATAGGGCTTTTGATGCTCTCATGAAATTGTCTGAATTTTCAAGCATTTCTAAAAAATCTGGCTTCTCAAAAATCGCCTGTCAACTGATCTTCAGTCACCTTATAATAAAGTGCTATGGTTTTAAATTTTATTATTGGCTTTGTCTAATAAATATGGTCAGGTTATCTGTCGGTGATATATATATTTTTTCTGTTTACTCTGTTATGTTTGAATAGCGTGCAGCACATTGTAATTTTATCATTCGTGTGTCATGAACACAGTATTCAAAAAACGTCGTGAAGGGGTGGATGAAAAAATCTGTAAACAGAGGTTGGTGTCGGGCCGACGTTTTGACAAGTCGACTTCTCTTTTTTAAGGCTACAACAGAACAGTTTTGTTCTGAGGAACACAAGACCGCTTGTCGGAACGTCGGCTCGACACAACCTCTTTTTACGGATCTTTTTGTGAACACAATAGGGCTCTTAAAATTGACTAGCAATATCTGCTTCGAAAGCCAATATTTTTTTTTCTAAAATGCATTTTTGTCTGCTCTAAAAGCTGCTCCAGAGCAGCTTAAGCCAGTAGCATCATTGTATTAACGAGGTTTCAATGTATCTTTAAAAATCTGTTTTATCATATGCTTCGAACTTGTTTTCGCTTTCTGGGTGCGCACATAACTACAGAGTTTTCTTCAATGAGCTTACCCACGCGGTTAGCAGTCACTGTGGAAGTGCGTACCAGTTTCTCTGCTGCAAGTAAGCCTAGTGGTGATTCGTCTGAACTGCCTCTCGACTGCCGAATCAGAATCGGATTCAGTAAATGTCAGCCTGTCATGTGAGCAGCTTAGATTCGCATGGTTGATGAGTGAGCGACATTTCAAAAGCGTGCATGGCAAGACTGTGCTGACTGGATCAAAAGTGGTTTTTCCCCCGTGTGTGCACTTCACGCCACTTCGTCTCATTTTTGTACATTTGTGAACTACACACAAGTTAATTTCAACACAAGATGTTTTAACAGTCATATAGGTTTTGTTATAATTTAATCTTGCTGTTACTCATGTACGTAACAACGTAAAGGATTTTTTTGTCACTTTATGGTCACTGAAAAATATTTTAGTGTTTTTTTCTAAATAGATTTGTCTAAAGAATTTAATTCAGCAATTAAAGAAATGTACAATTTTGGGACGCATGTAACAAAAACAATGGACCCTCAAAGGTATAGGTGTTGCTTGCAATCATATAAATGGCATTCTTACCATTATGCTAACATGTGGCAATAAGCTTAATCAACAATTATACTCACTTTTGTCTGTTTTGTATTGCAGACTGGCACACTAGCACTGGAGACTCTACTAAGCTTAACATCTAGGCGAGCAGGAGAGTGGTTCAAGGAGGAATTGCGGTTACAAGGTGGACTGACGCATATTGTAAATACAGGTGAGGCACGAAAACCTCCTATGCTTTTATTGTTTGGTTTGTCGTTCGGAGGCATGCTTACCTGTTTACGGGAGTATTGCATAAGATTTCAAAGGTGAAATAACTGGCGGCATAAATTTGTGTGGACACACACTCATCTCCTGTGAGAAATTCAGTCTACTCTCATTACAACGGACCGTGATAACCTGGCAAAATGAGTCTGTATTAGGGTCATATTTGCGAGATGTTTCAGCGCGCGAACAAAGGAAAAAGGACAGGGTAGACAGAAAGAGCGCTGTGCTCTTTTAGCGCTCTTTCTGTCTGCCCTGTCCTTTTTCCTTTGTTTCGCGCGCTGAAACATCTTGCAAATATGACTACGCACCAACTAGCCCAAGTTTCCACTCCTGTATTAGGGGGGAGGGTATTGTAGCGTTGTCATGTGATGATTGTTTCACTCAGCAGTACAGGGCAGACTTGTTCTGGTGATACATGCTGAATGTAATCTACAGCATGGTTATGAAAGACTGCAAATGGCAATGGTGCTTATTAACCCTTATTGAAGTGAAGTGAAGTGAAGTGAAGTGAAGTTTATTTTCCTTTCACACAAAGGGGGTAGCCGGGGCTAAAGGCTGGAGTGCCTGACAGAGGCCTCGGCTCCCTTGTACAGTCTAACATAAATAAACGAAAACACATAATTGCAGTGTTAGCTGCATTTGCCAGTGTAACACAATGCTGCCAAGCATGCAGCGTAGACAAAATACAAAGCATTATAAATATACAGAATATAAACTTAATACAAGCTTATACAAAGCACAAATCAGATTCGAGTAAATATTTCTTTGTTTGTTTTTTGAATAATTTCAATGCAACATCAAAATCAACATCCGTCAACATTTTATTAATAACCACAGTGACCTGATAATTTAATTTTTGTTTGCCATAGTTTGTGCGCGTTTTGGGGACCCGGTGGATTTGTTTTCGAAAGTGATATGCATCGTTAGACAAAGTAAAGTCTTGAGTGTGCAGTTGATTGCTCTAATATATTGCAACAGTCGAAAGAGGTAGACTTGGTTCGCTTTAAGCAGATCGTAAGTACGGAACAATGGCAACGTGGAAAAGTCTTTGGGTCTGCCACGGTACCCATGAATGCACCGCAGGCTCTCTTTTGGAGTACTAGTAGTTTTTGATAGTTAGTAGGCGTAGTTGTTCCCCATACGAGAATACAATAGGTTAACTTAGAATACACAAGCGCATAATACATCTGCAGTCTCAACCACACGGGTACCAGACAGGCTACTTTGTAGAGACAGCCAACACTTTTACTTATTTCAGATGCTAATTTTGACACATGTGTGTTCCATGAAAGGTTCTGGTGGAACCAGACACCAAGAATTTAATGCAGTCGACCTCATGTATTCTTACCCGACCAAATTGAATATTGGCCTTATATGAATCAGCAGTATTAATTGGCCTAAAAATAATGTAGCTAGTTTTGGATAAATTTAAGGAAAACATGTTGCGTTGTAGCCATGACTGCAAGTTTCCTAAGTACCAGTTTACCGTAGCTTCCGCTTGTACAAGAGATTGGCTGTAAAAAATATGTTCGTATCATCCGCATACATAATCATGTCATGAGAGCCTGGTAGTTTAGTAATATCATTAATATATATTAAAAACAATAGAGGTCCTAATATAGAGCCCTGAGGGACTCCACAAGTGACAGTTAGTCGGTTAGATGCAACATCATTCACCCGTACGTACTGCATCCTATGACGTAAATAATCCTGCACTAAGTTATGTGTGACACCACGTACACCATAGTAATTCAACTTTTCTAAAAGGATATTGTGCTGTACGCAGTCAAACGCCTTTCGAAAATCTAAAAAGAGACCAAGAGTGTAGTGTTTGTGTTCTATATTTTCAAGTATTTTGTCTTTAATAACGAGTAGCGCCTGCTCTGCGGATTTTTTCTTCAGAAAACCGTACTGGCAAGCAGATATCAGGTTGTGTTTAGTGAAAAAACATTCGAGCCTGCAATTGATAACTCCTTCAAATAATTTGGAAAATACTGGTAACACAGAAATTGGTCGGTAGTTTGACATTTCCATTCGATTGCCACTTTTGTATATCGGACAAACCTTGGCGATTTTTAGGTCATCAGGAAACACACCAGTAGTAAACATTAGGTTTACAAGATAAGACAATACGTCAGATATCAAAGGCGCAACTCGCTTAATGGGGACAGATTTTATATCGTCATGACCTGCAGATACATCATTTTTTAACTTGTTGATTAAAATCACTATTTCTTGAGAGGAACTGGGTGAGAAAAACACAGACTTCGATAAAGAAGTAATATTGTTAATCAATACATTATCAGGTTCAGGTGTATCACCGAGCGGTTTACCAACATTGACAAAGTACTTATTAAAAGCACAAGCTAAATCAAAACCACACAAATTTCCGTCCGGCGTACTTATCTCGTTCAGCGCATTATTATCTTTCCCTTTCGTTAGATTAGCTACTTCTCTCCATACTTTACCACTGTCGTTTTGGATTCTCGTAAAACGCTCGATAAAATAATTTGTTTTTGCTGTCTTTAATTCTTTACTCAGTTGATTTCGATACTTTTTATACTCTTTTAGAATGTTGGGATCCCGATTCTGAATAAAGGAGTGGTACATTTTGTTCTTAGTGCAGATTTTTTCATGCAAATGTTTGGTTATCCACGGCTTTCTGAACTTCTTCCTATTTACTCTTCTTCTAATTAGAGGAAAAGCGTCATTATAGGCATTTAAAAACTTCTTAATAAATTCTGAGTACGCCCTGTTTACGTCATCAATACTGTATATGTTATGCCAGTTTATATTCCGAATGAGGCATTGAAACTTGTTTAAATTCTTATCATTTATTTGCCGCGTCATATATCTATCAACTGTAACCTTGCGTTCGCGCACTCTGTTGATAAAACAAAAAATTGGAATATGGTCGCTAATGTCCGAACTCAGTAATCCAGATTCAATATTACGCGGTTCAATGTTTGTAACACAAACATCTAAAAGGGTGGCTGTGTCAAGAGTAATTCTAGTAGGCAAAGTAATGTGATTGTAACATGCGAAAGATGAAATAACACCGTTGAAATCGGCAGTGCACGGGTCGTCATGCAATAGATTTATATTAATGTCGCCCATGAGTACAAATGGAAGAGTGCTAGAATTCAAATTTTCAAGCATTTTTTCAAGGAAATCTAGAAACTCTCGCTTATTTCCAGTCGGTGGCCTATAAATTGCTACGACAATTACTTTGGGCAGTGATACCGCTAAACATTCAACACTGGGGCTCATTATTGAGTAGTCCTCAAGAACAGAGTGCGGGTAGCAGCATTTAGCATATATAGCAAGGCCTCCACCTCTTCCATTGGGACGTAGGAGACCGTTATAAGCGTAGTTATTGAAATGAAGGCGGTCATCATGTGTGAGCAACCATGTCTCAGAAAATACTAATACATCAAATTCTGTTGTTAGTAAGGTAAAAAGGTGATCGAGGCGGTCGCCTTTGTTTTTGAGGCTTCTTATGTTAAAGTGAATAACAGACAGTTCCTGGCGTCGGTTATGGAACTTAGCGTTGAAAGATTCAGAGTTGTATAAAGAACAAGTCGGTATTTGGAACATAGCCATGATTCCTCAAGCGAGAAATAATACAGCTATTGTGATATTTTGCACAAATCGCTCTCACCGGCAATCCTGACGGCATTGGAAGATTCATTCCGTCTGGCGAAAATCTTGCCCCCGCTTGTCCAAACGAATTTCCAAGACATTTCTTTCTTGCGGGCAATTGTGGCTCCCAGTAGTTGCTTATTAGCACGGGTTAAATGTTCGTTAACGTACACCCTATCGGATCCAGGAAGCCCTAGCATTTGATTTGTGATCTGTCGTTTCCTAGCTTAACCCCTGGATTATGAAACTGCTAGAAAAAATAGATTGTTTTCATTTTCTGGCCTTGAATATCAACTTTTAAATGATCCTGCAGTTAAATTATCTTAACTACAAATTTAATGCATACTTTAATGTACAGTAAACTCCTATTAAACAAAACTCTCTTAAATGAAATTGCTGCCTAAATGGAACAACTGCCCCTAATATGTTTGGTTTGGTACCTAAATATTGTACCCCTGTTTTTCTCTCAGTAAACAAAACACCTCTGTGGGGAAACACATTTTTCTAGTCTCTTCTCGTTTCGTTTAAAGGGAGTCTACTGTATGTCGCGAATTCTTGATATGCCACAGAAGCAAGGACATCGCAACAACAAAGGTGCTTTAAAGCTACGTAAAACGTTGGGTGCCACCTTTTGGATGCGTACACACCAAATAAAGAAAATTATGGAAGATAGAACTTGTGTCGCCCAGGCGAGAAAAAAACAAAACGAAGTTGAGCTTTCGCACGCGCTTCGCGGTCTCCGCTATAAGCTCCAAAACCATTGGTTATAGTATAAAATACCTTAGACGAGACGGCACCAGATTTTTCACGCTGAACGTAGCTTTTAGCAATACTTGACAGCTGGCATTTCAGGACTCACGCATTTTTTGACTTGCTCACTTGAAGTTTTTCGGTGTGTTGCAAATTCGCGACACTCGGCAGTAAAGGGTCAGCTAAATTGCAGCGCCACTTCTAATTAATGAGCGAGTACCATTGCAGTTGGTGCAGGGACACTATTTGGCCCCTGTGGAAAGAGCTTAATACCAATATGTGAAATTTTCTGCTCTTTTAACTGTCATGACGTTTTTTTCCTGCGTAATGAACCCTTCCTCCAAATTGGCGTCAACTTTTCCAGAAAAAAATGTAGGTTCATTTCTTCAGAAAATATGGTACAGTAAACTCGCAATAATTCGAACTCTGATAGTTCATGCTTTTAATTCAAACAGCATTCAATTTTTTTATTTGCCCCCTATTTTTTCAGTGTATTTAAAAGCCTCTTTCTTAATCAGGTGTGAGACAGCTGCACATATTGCACCTTTTTGATAA